TTGGAGAAACTGTTGAAGTTCACCTAAGAGGAGAAAAGGTGAAAAAACTACATTAAAAACTTATTCATTATTGAATAAATAATGTCAAGTAGAAAGTGGCTAAAATTGCATGGTTTGAATCTAAATCTTGCCCATAATTGTTACCCATATCGTGGGCTTAGCGGTTTTTTGTAACTCCCATTTTTTCCAACAAAATAACCCATTTTTTTAACATTTCAATGTGTTTTGTGGTTATGCATATCCTCAGTAAGTATTTTAAATGGATTCTGAAATTAACAAGTTAAATCAATATTTTGTCAAAAGGTTGTATCTCAAATTGCTCTTAATTTTCAGCGCAAAAGGGTTGTATCTCAAGTTACAACCTTTTTTGCGCTGAAAATTCTGATAGTGCAATGGAAGTAAATTAGCATTTCTGTTTGTCTTAGTGGAATCATCACATGAAAAGGAGGATTTAAAGACAGTAGAAAAGATTTTTTGTTTTTAATATATCTAATAAACCTTAAATATTGGTAAAAATCCAACTAAATTGTGATTTTATATTATCTTCATGAAATCTTAAATGTATATTACACTATGGTTTAATCTCATAAATTAATTTCCAATAAATGAAAATATCCACTGCCACAATCAGCAATTGTTTGATATTAAGTAAATGAAATAACTTTCAAAAATATATTGAAGGACAAATGTCCATATTTCCCCCCCCCCACCACCTCAAAAACACAAACAGTTTATAAAATAACAAGGCGGACAGATTTAGCCCCTTATGGGTCGAAAATTAGCGCCACACTTATTTTTTACAGGGCAGACAAACGTTTCCATATTTTGAAAAAATAATGCAAGTACATGTAGATTTAATTCAGAGTATCTTCAGTTTATGCTCATAGTAGCAAAACTTAAATTGTTGCAGGCACAAAGTCTGTTCATGGAAGCCACCTAGCTCAGACCCATAATGCTTCAGAAATGCTTTTATTTTTATTTCTCAAAAGCTTCTAAATTTTTAGTGTTCTTATCAAGAAAGTTACTCATGGCAAATTACCTGAACAATCTTTTTCATCTTTTGCAATTTTGAAAGAAGTACAGTTACAGTGAATTAGTATTTTTTTGTGGAAGTCAATACTGCCAGTGCTTTGATTACATTTTGCTACTTTTATGACAAATTATATTACATTGATCACCATTTTCTTGTTGTACAAGCATCTTACATTCTCAAAAACCATATTATTAATTTATTATTGTGAATGGCTTAGAAAACTACCATAGTATATCATAAAGGTATAATTAAAGATAAAAGAACGGAAGGGGATATGGGACCAAATTGAAGGGAGGGAGGTGGGGGTGTAATCTCCAACTATACAGACTAAAGACACACTTTAAAATACAATGAGGAAAAACTGAGAAGGGAATGGACAAAGTGGCAGGAACCAAGACCATTGTTAAACCATTGAGGCAAATGACATACTTAAAAAGGAACAATAGAATGACACTGCCTTGAAACATGGAAATAGCAAAAACATAGCTTAAGAGTTTATAATATGAAGTCTTTTAAAAGCTTCTAATTCACATACAATGTAGAATTTACCTAAAAGAAAGACCATATTTAAAACTCATATATCACAAATTCTGGGTAAGACCAAATTTGAAAGAGGACCATGTTTTAAATATTTATAAACATCCAGTTTTAATTCCGTAATTTTTAGTTTGTTATGGACAATTTATGAAGTTGTAAACCCTTGACATGTTGGAACAGAAAAGTGATAAGTTCTTGCCACAAGTATAGATCCAGGCCAGCTTGATTCACCTGTGCACTCAGTTCAGGTTTCTGCACTGTAGACAGCTCAATTTTAGTTTCCTGTATATTGATTTGATTGATTTGATTGACTTTTCCAAAATACAAAGCAGGGCAAATCCATTACAGGACATTTCAGCAGTTTATTTTTATAAACAAATTGTTCACTAACAGACAGACAGGGGACTATGTTTTTTTTTCCAACAATATTGACCATGCACTCTTCATTTGACCCCCTAGCCAGTAAATTCCGTAAACTTTTGATCTACTTAATCTTAATGAATGTTTATAATACTGCATGTTTGTAACGTCGCTTTTCATTGGATAATCGTGACGTTTATATAGTTTTATATACACGGCTCGCAGCTGTCGATTCATTAAAACATCTTACTTTTTTCTCTAAAAAATAATGCTTGCTGTATTATAAATTCGTTATAAAGATTGTTGACAGGTAGTAATATTATGGCGGTATATAAACGGCTGTTTGCAATATAACCCGCCTACAAATAGCGGTTTATATAGGGCCATATAACCTGACAACAATCTTTATAACTAATAATATAACGAGTTGTTAAATGGTCTTAATTAAGAATCCCTCTTAGCGCAAGCAGTAATTAAGACATTGCTTCAAGATATTATAGACATTATAAAGTCGTAGGTTCAAATCCTGGTTCAGCCACTTTATTTCTTTTAATTTTAAAATTGCCCTTCTCTCCTTCTGTAAATTAAACTTGTGCAAATCATTTTTTTTTGTGTATTCTATCTGTGTACTTTTATATTAACTACATCATTCTGTAGTGTGTATGCGCTATAAACCATATACGTTTGCATAATGTCACCAAGAAACCATTGAAAAATATGCGTTCTAGAGAAAAACTTACGATTGTCCAACGTCCGTATGTCAGAGTACTTACGAAAACAAGTCATCTTGATAAAACAAAAGGAAACACCACACTACTTAAAAGTAAGGCCCCCACGATTACACGTTTAAACGGATTCGTTTCGATTTTCATTCATAAACGTTTACGATATTGTTTACCGTTTAATCAAAATGACTGTATTGTCTTACAAAATTTCTTTATCATTGCCTGTAATCATGGATTCTAGTGGTTTATTCCAAAGTAAACAAATGGAAAATGGTTGTTTACAACCCTCCACACAGAATTATGGGGTTACAATGCAAAAAATGTGTGCTGACTCAATTGTGATGAGCCCTGCACATTCTTTATTTGTACATGTATTAAAAATAGAAAGAAAGACATCATTTGGCGACTCAAACATGGTGTGTATAGTACATAGAGGTACCACCGTTTAAACGGTATCGTTTCGGTTCTTAGCAATCGTGTAAACGTTTACAGAAAATTGTAAACGTGGGAGCCTTACTTAAAAGTTCTCCTAAAAGTAGATATATTAAAGCAATTTCAAATTAATTCAATTCTTGCTATAATAAAAAAAAACAAAAGCACAAAAAGTGTGACTTCATAACGCAGTGTTGGTTAGGAATCAAACCAGAGACCTTCAGATCAGTAGCCCGGCATCTATACAAATATACCTCACCTTACTGACATGTGAAGATAACAAATAAATATCAATATATTCGTTTGATACAAGTGTTTATTCAATGACCTTTATGAAAGTTAATGAAGATCAAGGACAATATTGTTGGACAATATAACCAACCAAAATATGCCAGAAGTAAAAGAAAATTTTTTTTGGGGATATAGAATGTACAACTTCTGCAAGTTTAATGAGAACTGGTCAGTGGGCTGATGTAATTTAAAGGTATTCTAAGATTTTATGAACTTCCTAGAATGACAAAGTACATGTAATTGATATTATAACTGAAATTGAAAGGTATAACAAGTAGAAATTGATTTATCAGCACCCATCAATTTTAAGCTGTGGTCTCACTTACTACCGGCAGAGCCCAGGACCAACCCCGGTAAGTTACCAGTATGATCCGGGACAACTGGGGTGAAATTATTGTTGCAGTCACACTAACCCCGGCAGCACTATGGTATTCCCAACTAACCAACCAGGATGCGCTCCGGACCATCCAGGCAGAGCCCAGGTGAAGCTACGGTTAATACAGGTGCTTCCCCGGTCGATCCAGGCAGACCCCTGGTAGATTGAAAATTAAACGCACGAAAAGATTAACATTGAAACATAATTTTTATTTAATATAATATCTATTGTTCCAGAACAGTAATTCATGATGATTTTCTGAAAAATCCTTATGCCATACTGGATAGAAGGGAAATTGCAAGGGTTTTTAAAACAAACAAGTGCAATCATCGCAAATTGTTGTGATTCTTTTGAAATGAACCGGGCTTTGCCGGAGCTCTACCTGGATCAACCGTAGCTCCATCGTCATCCTCCAGGGCTCTGCCGGCATCCTCTGGGACTCTGCCGACATTTACCGGTACTCTGCCAGCATTCACCGGGGCTCTACTGGCTATATCATACCCCAGATCATCCCCGGTTTGTGCCGGAAGTCTCAGCTACGGTGCTTCCCCTGTGTAACCCTGGTTATTCCCGGCAGAGCTAAGGATGAAGCCTGCAAAGCTTTACTTCCCGGATCATCCAGGACCACCCTGGTGATATTAAATATTTTATTCCATCCAGGGTCGAATGCCGGATGTTCCCAGATCATCCCAGATGTTGTCGGCAGTGTAACGGATGTACCCCGGTTGTTCCCGGTTACTAAGAGCCCCGAATCACCCCGGACGTCTACCAGGGCTCTGCAGTGATGTCAGTGAGACTGTAGCTTTAAGTCAAGACACATTATGAGGACCTTGTATTCACAGTTGTTATGGTGTCTCTGTCATATTTCCAAACAAATATTTTTCAAATATTACAGCTTAAACTCTTAACCTGCAAATGGTGTCACACATTCTATCATGCAACCAGTAAAGATCAGAGCCAGCATAATTATCCTTTAAAACATTTTGAAATCTAAAAGATTTTGAATTATTTCGCTAAAATTGAAGTCCGTAATTTAATAATATCAATTGGGGTATTAAGGATTAAATGCCCAGCAGCTGCAAGGGTGGCTAACCTTACTTTTTATTTTGAAATACATGTACAAGTGCCTAAGATAGCATTTATACCATTCTATAGAATAGCATATAAATTTATAATTACCATAAAAAATAATTTTAGCTTATCCCATAACATATTTTTAAATAAAGTGGTATAGGCTATATTATTCTCTATTGAGGACATTCATTCTCTTCAAACTTTTACTGATTATTCTTACTTTCATTATTTTTTATCATTCTAAACATGACTTGCACATATTATAATCTTATTTTATAATGGCTACATGTATTTTATGTGATTTAGAAGTAATGTTTTATTTTATCCAATTATTACATCCTATAAATAAGATGTGAGTTTGAGATACTTCCGTTTTGCACAAAGAAAATAATTAAAATTGCTCAAAATTTGTGCGGAAAACAGTTGTAACTTGAGATACTACCCTTTTGCACAAAAAAATATGTAACAAATTATCAAAATTTTATTTGCAAAACGGTTGTAACTTGAACTTATTCAAATATCTTTTTTCAAAAATAATTTGCTTCTTTTGTCTTATTTTGTTTCTAATTCCTTAACTAAAATGTATATATTTTCCTAAAATGAAACATTTTTATTCATTAACAAAATTTTAAAAAGTTTTTTCATGCTCCTTTGCTTAAGTTGAGTTACAACCGTTTTGCGCTAAGCCCGCGATATATTATTTAGTGATGTGTGTATATATACAACAACAACCACCACAACCACAACCGCAAGCGCCAACAGAACCGCAACCATCACCGCAACCGCCACCACAACTGTGAATACCACCACAACCGCAAGCGCCAACAGAACCGCAACCATCACCACAACCGCCACCACAACTGCAACTGCCGGCACAACTGTGATGCCGCCAACCCAACCGCACCCGCCACCTCCACCACAATCACAAACAACACCAAAAACATAACAGCAACCGCAACCTTCAACACCACCACAACGGCAAATGTCATTACAACCGCATAATATACCAAAGTTTTCCAATAAACTCCCTGACAGTTATGACAAGAACTCTTTAACAAGTCATCATAAGAACTCCATCCTTCTTGTAACAGTCCCTCCCCCGTGATTTTGTTTAATCGTGATTACGTTATATGATTTATATGCGGATTTTATTCTTACTTTGACAAAAATCAACATTAACAAGACATCAGACGTATAAAATAATTAAAATGGTTTTTACATTTGGGATATAATTGTAGAAATAAAGTAGATTTCTATTTGTAGAACTATTTTATGGTATTTTCTTCTTTCGTTTCAGGACTTAACTCAACGAAACCACTTCCCTCTGCGGGGATTTAACCCTTTCTACAGCAATTCTGTGGCGATGACGTGAATGTATTCGAGAAAAACAACACCAGGTTGAAATTTTACTAATATAGAGACTTCCTAAACGGATAGTTTTTCCAAATATTAATGAGTTACTTCCCTTTTATATTTATTTGGCCTCCATTTGTAAGTGGACTGGATTTTGTATTATAATGGATTTTTTACCTGTTGCCTTAATCTTTAAGACAAATTTATTTGAGTGTCAGTGTAAGAGGGAAGTATAAAGGAAATTTGTTTAATTGAGTTTCATTTTGTTTTTTTTGCTGTATCTTTAATTTTATCAATTTAAATAATTTAAGCTTTATTCATGATATGATTATCTCCCCTTAATCAAGTCATTGTAGGTACATGTGTACATTAAGATTAATTATCATGGAAATAGGGAGATATTAAAATGAATTACATTGTTTAAATTATGTTATGTGTGATTTACCACTGATTTGCATTATTTTTCACCATACTTCTACCTAATGTTATTAACGCAGTTAGGGTTATTTTGACCTCTTTTGTTATTAACATGGGTTGTATGTGAAATCTTTTTTCTCAGTTCACTACACTTAATACATTTTCAAAATTTCATGAAAATTAGCATAAATCTGCTGCTTTAAAGTGTCTAGGGGGAGAAAAGTTACCTTGTTTTAAATAGGGGTGTGGATCATCTGATAAGTGACAATCAGATCCGATCCACGATTCAGCACTTACGATTCACGAATCGAACCACGAATGTTTTATTATCAAGACACCCATAAAAACATGAATATACGTTCTGAAAACATGTTTATTTTTCTTTAAACAATACTAAACATTAAACATATATACAAATATACACTAGGTTTAAAGGTTTTTCGAAAAGGAGTTGCGCATTAGTATATAAAAAATTCCACCAGCAAGTTGGTAATACTTAGGTACTGTGAAATCATCATTATTCGTGGGGCACGAATTTTTGTGGTTTTTCGTGGATAGGTCAACCCAATGAAATTTTATCCCAACAAACACTTCTTACCATGTTCTGTTCCATGTATCACAACATGCGTCGGCACTTTTCCGGCCGATTTTTGTGGTATGAATGTATACTAATAATCAGGTCAGTGACAAATCAAATCCATAAATAGTTTATTTTTTGCAATACTTAAGAAACTTGAAAGAAAAATCGATTGTATTGTCTTCAGTTTGCTGTCACAAATGTTTGTCGCATATAAACATCAGGGGGACGGACTTACTTGATCGTTGTAGGCTACTTGATTGTGCTAGCCAGAATACGTGACATAATTGAATAGATATGGGAAACCAGTGCATTAATTATCCCCGATAAAACTTTATACGACTAGTGTTTATATGATCCATTTAAATAAAAAAAAAATTTCAATATGTATTTGTGTGACTTATTTCCGGGAAAAAATTTAAAGAAAACCGTCCTATTTTAAACTAAGCAAAAATACTATATTGGGAACTGTATTTAGCCACTTACTCGTATTTAAATTTATATGCATATTTAAAATTAAAAACTTTTCAAAGTGACGTTTAAATTGTAGTTTTGGACCTAATTCAGGGTGTTTAAATTTTTTTTCGCCGGTTTTAAAAAATTTTGGGAGATGTTGTTTTTAAATTTTTGCGAGTTTTACATTTGCGAATTTTTTAGGGGGCCCCAATTTAAAGGGCGCATATATGTCACAAAAAACGTGTTTTAAATTTCAGTCAATTATCAGCAGTAATTTTTGTTACTTTCCAGAGGCAAAGGGTTAAATTTTATTGGGCAAAAGCCCGTTTAATACACGCGGTAAGTAAAAGAGCGCAGTGATTAAGTGAAAGATTAATATCCATTTCTTATTTATTTTTACAAGAAAATGAAAATCCACGAATTTAAGAACCCACGAATATGCCCGTTTTGATAAAACCACGAAATTTCATGCCCACGAATACAAATGATTTCACAGTATTTCAATAAAAAAAAAAGGGGAAAAGGCCATTTGTGAAACATACCACGGTGAACTGACCGTACAGGTATAACTAATTCATGAACAGACAAATGTTTCCAAACATTGGAAGTAAATTTTGCTGGTGGAATTTAATATTGGCGAAACTCATTTTCAGCCATTGTTGCAGACATCACGCTGACTTAACTTGAGAAAATATGCAAATTTTGGATTATTAAAGATAAAACCTTCTTCGATAGATGTCATGTTATCATAAATCTATATACAGCAACTACTAAAAATATTTATTTTCATGTAAACACATAGTGCTCAATAAAGATAAAGTGATTCCTTTTTTGAAACTAATGACTTCCTAGCTCAGCATCATGCTATTTGTTTGTTTACTTCCTGTCTTTATTCGGCAAATTGTATTTAAGTAAACGTCGCATAATTCATACTAAAATGGGTTTTTTTGAGACTTTAATAGTGTGAGAAACAGTGAATTTATATAAACAAATAAGAGCGCGATCCACAATCTCTGGGTTGACAAATATTCATACTGGATTTTTTATTTTGATTTGTGATTATCAGAGTACTCAGATACTCGCCCCAGCCCTAGTTTTAAGAGGTGTAATTGAGTTAGTAAAAATTTGCAATTTTCAACTTGTGTCGCTCATAACTCAAAAAGTATTTGACCTAGAGTCATGAAACCTTACAAAAATGTTGCTCAGCATGTGTAGTTGTGCATCTGGGTACTTTTGTGTGGATATTTTTAGTATTTTTAGAGTGATTCCCTTGACTTAGTAAAATTTTACAATATTTAACTTGTGTTGCACATATCTATTTAATTTTGTTTCACTGTTTGATCTCAATGAAGATAATAATACAAAAATACTAATTATACTTTAATTGTTTAATTCTTTTATTTGAAAATTTTATCTTTTTAGATATTGTCATCATTTGCTTGACGCTATTTACAGGCCGGAATTTTTTCTTTGTTCTATATTACTTGTTATGATATTAATGCTGGACTTATTAAAGGGACTCCACTGAGGTTTCTATGACATGACAGGACTGGAAATAATTTTTTGAGATTATTTCTCCATTTGATGTAGATCTATACTAATAACTTATGTGCAAAATTTCAGATCATTAGCTTGCTCCGTTTTTCCAGAATAATTATTATAATAGTGAAAAATGACCTAAAATTGAAAAGTGTTTAAACGCTTTTCACTCAAATCAGACTGAAAATAGCACAAACATAATAAATAATTATGATTTTCAATGTATTTCTTGGTTATATTTTATTAATATTTATGTTTTAAGTGCTCATGTTTATCTATGTGAAAATAAAATTTTGTATTTTTATGCTTATAAACTTAAGTGGAGTTCCTTTAAATAATGAAAAAATAAACAAACCGCTATAAAATTACCCAATTAACAGACTTACACACAATTAACATGCTTTTTCATTTATAATATTTTATGCTCAAATAAAATAATTAATGTCATTTCCCATAATTTATACGCTTTTACATTTTTATCTTTGATGAAAATTATATTATAAATTAATACAACAAAAAATTAAACAACAAAAAATACATAATAAAAAACAAATAATTTGAAAGGAAACACACTGTATACGAAATATGTATTATTTTTATTATTATTATTATATAATTATATCAACCCATTTTTTATCTAGAAAGATCTAATAATGTTTACAAGACCGGCACTGACCGGGCCAGTAAATATGATACTATTGGCCGGTCTCTCATAAATTCGGTCAAACTAGACCGGGAGAGACCGGAAAATAGTACATCCCCACACAATGGCTGAGTTCCAGAGTATATCTCAATATATAGAGGAATACCTTTTTATAGCAACAGTATTATTGCAAATTAATATGAAGTATAAAATTAATGAAAGACAGATTTTGATTTCGATATTTTAACTTGATTCTTTACTTAAATTAAAAATTTTTACTCTCATTTTACTTATAGCAATTTACCACTTATAACAATATAACGCTTATAACAATATACCACTTATAACAATATACCGCTTACACCAATATACCACTAAAAACAATATACCACTTATAACAATATACCACTTATAACAATATAATGCTTACACCAATATACCACTAAAAACAATATACCACTTATAACAATATACCGCTTGTAACAATATACCACTTATAACAATATACTGCTTATAACAATATACCGCTTGTAACAATATACCACTTATAACAATATACCACTTATAACAATATACCGCTTGTAACAATATACCACTTATAACAATATACCACTTATAGCAATATAATGCTTACACCAATATACCACTAAAAACAATATACCACTTATAACAATATACCACTTATAACAATATAATGCTTACACCAATATACCACTTATAACAATATAATGCTTATACCAATATACCACTAAAAACAATATACCACTTATAACAATATACCGCTTGTAACAATATACCGCTTACACCAATATACCACTTATAACAATATAATGCTTACACCAATATACCACTTATAACAATATAATGCTTACACCAATATACCACTTATAACAATATACCGCTTGTAACAATATACCGCTTACACCAATATACCACTTATAACAATATAATGCTTACACCAATATACCACTTATAACAATATAACGCTTATAACAATATACCACTTATAACAATATACCGCTTACACCAATATACCACTTATAACAATATACCACTTATAACAATATACCGCTTACACCAATATACCACTTATAACAATATAATGCTTACACCAATATACCACTTATAACAATATAACGCTTATAACAATATACCACTTATAACAATATACCGCTTACACCAATATACCACTTATAACAATATACCACTTATAACAATATACCGCTTACACCAATATACCACTTATAACAATATAATGCTTACACCAATATACCACTAAAAACAATATACCACTTATAACAATATACCGCTTGTAACAATATACCACTTATAACAATATACTGCTTATAACAATATACAGCTTATAACAATATACCGCTTATAACAATATACCGCTTATAGCAATATACCACTTATAACAATATTCCACTTATAACAATATAATGCTTATAACAATATACCACTTATAACAATATACCACTTATAACAATATACCACTTATAACAATATAATGCTTACACCAATATACCACTAAAAACAATATACCACTTATAACAATATACCGCTTGTAACAATATACCGCTTATAACAATATACCACTTATAACAATATACTGCTTATAACAATATACCACTTATAACAATATACCGCTTACACCAATATACCACTTATAACAATATAATGCTTACACCAATATACCACTAAAAACAATATACCACTTATAACAATATACCGCTTGTAACAATATACCGCTTATAACAATATACCACTTATAACAATATACAGCTTATAACAATATACCGCTTATAACAATATACCGCTTATAGCAATATACAGCTTATAACAATATACCGCTTATAACAATATACCGCTTAAAGCAATATACTGCTTATAACAATATACCACTTATAGCAATATACCACTTATAACAATATACCACTTATAGCAATATACCACTTATAACAATATACCACTTATAACAATATACACGGCTTATAACAATATACCGCTTATAGCAATATACCGCTTATAACAATATACAACTTATAGCAATATACCACTTATAACAATATACCACTTAAAGCAATATACCACTTATTACAATATACCACTTAATGCAATATACCACTTATAACAATATACCACTTATAACAATATACCACTTATAACAATAAACACCGCTTATAACAATATACCGCTTATAACAATATACCGCTTATAGCCAGACTTCCCGAAAGTTGAAAAAAACTGTCAGACATTCGGTCTGACAAACCATGAAAATCTGTCGGACCGAAACGAAATCTGTCGGACCAAATAAAATTGATCAAAATCAAAGAATAACTAGTGTTTGTATTTCTAAGACACTTTTTTTTTCGCCGTAAAAATCGGCACATTCTTACAGCACATTTTCATCTCCTCCCTATCATACACCAACGATTCACTGTCTTGCTTCTAATTTTCATTAAATTTTGTCTCAGGTCTATTCTTTTTATCCTTTTACTGCTGTTCTGCCTGTTCCTCTGACGTAGATTTTTTATTTTTCGAAGTTTTGGCACTTTTAGCGACGCCATTTTGTAAACATGCGGCTTGGATAAAAGCCGGACAGTCGGACCGATCCGGAATAAAAACTCGTCGGACCTGATCAAAATTTATCGGACATGTCCGTCGGACCGACGTATTTCGGGAAGTCTGTATAGCAATATACCACTTATAACAATATACCACTTATAGCAATATACCACTTGTAACAATATACCACTTATAACAATATACACAGCTTATAACAATATACCACTTATAGCAATATACCACTTGTAGCAATATACCACTTATAACAATATACCACTTATAACAATATACCACTTGTAACAATATACCACTTATAACAATATACACAGCTTATAACAATATACCACTTATAGCAATATACCACTTGTAACAATATACCACTTATAACAATATACACCGCTTATAACAATATACCGCTTATAACAATATACCGCTTATAACAATATACCACTTATAACAATATACAGCTTATACCAATGGGAGGTTCCAACTCTTACTTTCAAATTGATAACCTCTTATTCTCGGTTTATAACAATATCCAGATAATAATGATATAAATTTTGCGGTCCCCGAGTATATATATAGAGTTATAAGCAAAGTTTACTATTTATGCTTCAGATAAGATAAAATCTCCCACAAGTCTGTCGTCTTCAAGTAATCTGATAAAGATCTTGTTGATATTGGTGTTGGAATAATACATTTCATCATATTATGTAAAAGAATTGGACAGTTCACTTGATTGTGAACATATTTTCATTATTTTATCAATTATACATGTTTTGAATAATGACCCCCAAATGGCTGCCAGTTTTGCCAAGAGTGCTAATTATTGTAAAAATCTGAATCTATCTGTTATTATAGGTGAATTCAAGCATGGCAATGTACAGTAATATAACATACTATGCTGAAAAGTGGCAGAAGATGTCTGTGAATATTAGTGAACAGATTTATATTCTACAGGTGAACTAGCCCTATATGTAAATTTTAGAAGTTTTATTTTGTTGCTTTTCCCCTTTTTCGAAAATCTTATACTCACAAAGGCATTTGTTAACTGTGAGCTATATAATGGTGCCCACTAGTTCATCTCAGTGTAAAATGGTGCACTGTACTTAATATTAGTTTTAAATGGTGCCCAACACTTCATCTCAATCAAAGTGTTCATTTTTAGCTCGACTATTCGATAAGAATAAGTAGAGCTATTGTAGTCACCCGAGCGTCGGCGTCGCGTAACCACTTATGTTAAAGTTTTTGTAATAGTTCAAATATTTTCAAAGTCCATTGACATATGGCTTTGAAACTTTGCACACTTGTTCACCATCATGACCCCAACCTGTAGACAGGAGGAGGTAACTCTATCAAGCATTTTGACAGAATTATGCCCCTTTTTCGACTTAGAATTTACGTTAAAGTTTTTGTAATAGTTCAAATATTTTCAAAGTCCATTGACATATGGCTTTGAAACTTTGCACACTTGCTCACCATCATGACCCCAACATGTAGACAGGAGGAGGTAACTCTATCAAGCATTTGGACAGAATTATGCCCCTTTTTTGACTTAGAATTTATGTTAAAGTTTTTGTAATAGTTCATATATTTTCAAAGTCCATTGACATATGGCTTTGAAACTTTGCACACTTGTTCACCATCATGACCCCAACCTGTAAACAGGAGGAGGTAACTGTATCAAGCATTTTTTTGCTATCAAGCACTAAGAATAGTCGAGCGTTGCTGTCCTACCGACAGCTCTTGTTACCTGTTAGTTTTAATTGCTCTAAAGGAATCTTTCATTTTCCAGATTAATTTTAGCATTGTTCCTATGGCATTTAATAATAACTTGAAATTAATGTTAAACACAATGCTGGGAAACAGGGAAAATATATTTCAGAGTGAAGACCTTGCTTGAATGGACAAGGAGGAAATTTCAACAATGAGTCAAGTGTTCTCATTTCTGGACAATATGGCCTGTACTTGACTAAACCTGGTGAAAGATGTAGATATGAACATCTTCACTAGCTTCAGTACTGAGGATGAACTAGAATATTATTTCTTAATCAGACAGTTCCAGGATAATGTCACCGTTGTGGCAGGTTTGTTATTCACTTTTTATGTCGCCTTAAAATGCCTAACTAACTACTAATACTGTTAACAAGGCGACACATCTGACTCAAGTTATAATTTCAAATACAAAATTAATGTTTTTGTGTTTGTGAATGCAGAATAATAATTTCCGCATAAAGATGTTGGGTTTTATTTGTCTAGAGCGTTATTCAAAAGCTGTTTGTTGTATCAACTTAAAACTAACTAGATGGATAAACATCTTTTTGTTCCTTGCTTAAAAATGATAATTCCTTTGCATATAATTGGAGTTATTGCCCTTGGAAATTTTTTTTAATTTTTTTTTTGTACAGAGCATATCTCAACAAGGAACGGAAACTTAAACTTTATAGATAAGCAAATTTTGAATGAGGCATAACTCAAGAACAATAACTCTCTTTTGCTTAAGTAATTTGCCTTTGTCAATTTTGAAACTTCATAGATGGATAGATATTATTACAAAAATATAGTACACAAGAATCACAACTCTTTTTTTGCATAATTTTGGTTTAATAACTCTTTGTATTTTTTTATATTACTTTTTACTGTGGCATAATTCAAAAGTTATAAGTGTTATGAAACTTTATTGGTGGATAAATCTCATAAAGAAGTGAAAAAAGAACTAGAACTTTATTTTGTATAATGTTGGAGTTATTGCTCTTTGTTATTTTTCATAGTAAATTATTTTGTCTAGAGCATGTGATGTAATGTTTATAATACCTTATAAAGCAGTTTAATTTCTTAATGTTTTACCTACATGTATATAATTTTATCATTAATAACTGATAGCATATTTTTATTGTTATACTTCAGGGCTGGTTTTTCGAGAAGTTAAATGATCACATGTACACACTGCAGTGGCATGTCCACTATAAGATCAGACAAAACGCAACATTAAATCCGGAAACCAACATAATTAGACCACCATTCTGGTACCCAAGCACTTGTTCAAATGATTTACTCTACTATGACTTTGGTTTTGTGTGGATACAGGTGAAAGATATTTATTTTGTCATGATTTTTAACCTAAACTGTGCGCAATTCATGTTAAAAACATACATTGCTACTGATTGAAATTTCAATGAAGAAGCTCCAATTAGAGACCAGTTGTCTGGCCAGAGTTTATAGATATGCAGTCTGGCCTGTTATTTGTAGATAGTTTTCATGTGATGTCATGACTTCCCATCATCCGTCTGCCGTGGCCGCCATTTTGATTGGCAAACAATACAGTTCAATGGTTCAATGGACCTATATGTAAACAATCTAAATTTAGAACAGAAATGGTAATTTCTTGTTCGGTTAATGGTTGCAGTAATCGTGCAAACCAAAGGTGTAGCTTGGGATTTTATTCAATTCCATCTGTCAGAGAATGAGAAGGAGAATTTACGAAGAGTTTGACAGAAGAGCAACGAATACTGTGGATTTCTAACATAAAGCAAAAAGATGCGCCGACGAAGTATTCTAAAATTTGCTCCAATCATTTCCTGAAAGGTTTGTCAAATCATATAAAATAATATATGAAGCTTCGTGTTATTTATTTCTGCAAAATATAAAATTATTGAGTAAAAAAAGTAAATGTAAGGTAAATCTGGAGCGAAATGTACATACAACAGTTGGCCCAATGCGCCGTCATCTCCGACATCAACAATTCTGTCTTACATTAAATAATAGATCCAGATGCATATGAAAACCTATTTCTCATGTTATTTTTGAAACTAAATTTTTGAATATTTGACTGTTTCAGGAAAACCTGCATCTATGTATCATCGCTCAGATCCTACGCTTAATTTAGATGGTGCTATGACTCCAACAAAATCAGTGTTGAAGAAAAAAAAAAGATTGAAACGGATAGTAAAAGGTAATTTAGAGTTCATTTATTTCATTTTAAATTTACAACACATTGTGACACACTGACAGCTTAACATTGTCCAGCGAATCAGTAATTTTTGAATTCAATGAAGTAGAAACAGAGACTTGTACATTTACTTGGAAAGGGAAAACAGAAGGCCCTGGGAAGTCTTTACAACCATGTAAGGAAAATGATCAAGAAACATAAAATGAATGAGATAGTAAAATATAGAGGATATTTGTTTGTTTTGCATGTAAGATTGAAATATAATTTCACTGAGTGAACACCAGATGCAATATTTTCACAAGTGGCGTAGCAACAAGTGAAAATATAATAGCTGGTGTACCTTCACAAATGAAATATATTTCAATCTTGTATGTAAAATAAATAAATTTTCGTTTTATTTCATGGTTTTTAAGTGATATTAAGTACTTTTTACTAATTTCGCCATGTAACGTCACGCATTCTCCCTTGTGACGTCATCACATCATGACGTCACATCATCAATTTTGAAGTATAGGTCTGTTACACTTATCTAATTTTGTTACATTTTTAACATTATGTATGATGACATCGACTTTATTTCCCTAAAGAAGCAAAATTTACGCATGACAGCATTTATTTCTGCCTGTTATTCCATTTAGTTTAATGATTTTCTTTCATCTGCATTCAGATATATAGTCCGGCTACAGTGAAAATTATACTTTATAAATTTCACTAGTGCCCGTTTATCAGAATATAATCATATGATATATTACAATAAAACGCTGGAAAGCATTAAATAATAATACTGAAATTCAGAGAGTGTTGTCGGAGAATGAGGCTTTAAAATCAGAACTGAACCTATTCTACATGTAGCAAGAAAGTTTCAAAGAAGATAATGAGAAAGTAAAATATTATACAGGCCTTTCAAATTATCTGACTTTGATGGTGGTTATGGATTTTGTGTCACCATTTCTTAATATGAAAAAGAATATGTGTCTTGGTGCATCTGAGAGAGTGTTGCTCACTTTTATGAGACTGAAACATAATTTCCCATTGTAAGATTTGCCATATAGATTTAAGACTTCATCCTGCACAGTATCAAGAATATTTACATTGGTTATACATATTATGTTTGTTAGAATGAAACATTTCATATATTGGCCAGAAAGAGAAGAACTGCAGACCACAATGCCTCTTGAGTTCCGCAAACATTTTGCTAGGAAAACTTCTGTCATAATTGACTGCTTTGAAATATTTATAGCAAGACCAAAAGCTCTGCTGGCTCGTGCACAAACTTGGAGCAAATTTATAAGCACCATAATACTATTTAATTCCTGATAGGCATTATTCATAATTCATATTTAGTAATTTTCATTCATTCAGGACCTGGTAGAGAGAGCAATTATACAGGTTGGAAAACAATGCCATATTCGTGTTGGCTGTGGGATGCGTGAGTTGTCTCCCTTGATACTCTGTTAAATAAGCGATGGTTCACTGCCTGCCCAACTGCCGGTGGAGCTCGGGCTGATTTGTTACACCTTCTCACCGGGGAGAAAGATGGGAAGCGATGTGTAGCCGGCGTCCGTTATCTGCTGCCAGTACCCACGTCCGAATCGCAAGATCTATGTAATTAGAATTCAATATTTTGATAATTACATTGAACCTACATTATAATAATATTCATATTCGGTATTCTCTTTATATTCACGAATATGAATTCATATTCGATATTTTGTCATACCCTGCTTTGAAATATTCATAGCAAGACCAAAAGCTCATGTCCGAATCGCAAGATCTATATAATTAGAATTCAATATTTTGATAATTACAATGAACCTACATTTATCAATTTAATGGTTTTAATCTGCTTTAGACCTTCTAAATGTTTTGGACTTTTCATGTACAATTCATTTGTTAAAAATGAAAACATTAATTTAGTAATTTATAAGTGATTTATAACAACCTATACTCAATACATAGAGATGATGATGTTAACAATAAATGATGAGTAAAAGTTAATGTTGCTATTTTTAGCTTGACTATTTGCAGAAAAATCGAGCTAATGCAGTCACCCATTGGTCGGCGTCGGCGTCCCTGTGGTTAAGTTTTTGCGTGCAAGCTGGTATCTACTGAAGGGAATGGATTGAAACTTCACACACTTGTTCTCTGTGAATATCTAACATGATTGGCACAAGTCCCATAACTCTGATTTGCTTTTTTGCATAATTATGCCCCTTTTTCGACTTAGAAATTCTTGGTTAAGCAAGTATCTCCACAACTACTGAAGGGTTTGAGCCTTTTTTGAACAATTTTTTGCATTTTATAAAAATAAAGCAGTGATTTACTCGATAAAACATCTTAATAACAAGCCTTTGTACCTTTTCGGACAATTTTATATATTTATATAGGTAAACATTATAATACCCAATGAAACACACTTGTGACAACTTTTCGAATAGTCGAGCGTTACTGTCCTCCGACAGTTCTTGTTAAGTTATAAAGGCATTTATTACTTCACCTCCATTGATAAAGGTTGTTTTTTTAAGGGTTTGCTATCTCCTAATGAATTTTTTGTAATTAAGGCTCTTGTCACCTCCCCTGATAAAATTTATAAAAAACTTATTTTATTTCATGCTGTCCAGTGTTTTTACTGTAATATATCAGATAATTATAATCATAATAAACCACTAGTGAAATTTATAAAATAAAATTTTCACTGTAGCGGATGAATAGAATATAACAACATGAAATAACAGGCAAAATTAATGTTGTCATACATAAATTTTGCTTCTTTAGGAGAAGAAAGTTTATATCATCATACATCATGTCAAAAATGTAACAAATTTGGAGAAATTTAACAGAACTATATTTCAAAATTGATGATGTGACATCATAATGTGATGACGTCATTTTTAAAGGAGAATACAAGACGTTACGCGACAAAATCAGTAAAAAATACTTAAAATCACTCAAAAAGCATGAAATAAAAAGACAATTTATTTGTTTTACATATAAGATTGAAATATATTTCCTTCTTGAACACCAGCTATTCTATTTTCACTTGTGGCTATGCCACTTGTGTAAATATTGCATCTGGTGTTCACTCAGTGAAATATATTTCAATCTTACATGCAAAACAAACAAATATCCTCTATATGACATTAAATGTTTGATTTCAGATTTATCTGAAGAATACAACATATTATACTGCTATGTTTAATGCTGTCATGTGTTTATTCAGTTGCTATGCTCGTACAGAAAATTGTCTATGAAAAGGAGAAAAGATTAAGAGGTTTGAAAATTTTTGTTAACATTATTTACCTCTTTTATATTTTGCATTTCTTTTGTCTTTAAATGACTTTCTTTGGCACTCCTGATATTGCTTGATAAATATCCCTTAAAATGTTTTTTTTTTTTTGGTTTCCATAAAATATTTTACAAGCATTTATGAACGTATATTTATTATAGTATACTTGTTTATTAAAAATGTCACACTAAAGCAGAATATTCTATAAACAAGAAAACTGAACTTGCTTTTAATTAGCTCACCTGAGGACAATGTCCTCAATGATGGCCCATTATACGTCGTCCATCGACTGTCCGTCTGTGCATCCGTCCGTGCGTCCATCGTACGTGTGTGCATCAACAATTTCTTTGAACAACCTCTCCTCCTAAACCACTTGGCCAAATTGGTTGAAACTTTGCATGGATGTTCCTTGCATGAAGCTCTACCAAAGTTGCTCAAAGAATTGGATCCATCAAAAACTCTGGTTGTCGTGGCAAACAAAAGATTATTTTTACAATAAATCTTAAAAAATCTTATTGTAAAAAATGAAAGAGTTACAGTTTAAATATTTGGCATGAAACATAGTGGATGTATACCAAGTTTGTTCACATAAAAACATAGGGGCAAAATTGACCCCACCCCAGGGGGCCATTGATTTTCCTTATATGTATATAGTTAAAACTTAAACAATCTCCTTGTGACAATCCAAAAGCACTATAGGTTAGATAATTGACATGAAACATCATTCTAGTGGATGTCTACCAAATTTCTTCAAATTAATGCCCAGGGTCAAAATTGGCCCAGCCCCAGGGGTCATTGATTTTCGTTACATGTATAAACTAAACACTAAAAATTCTTCTCGTGAAAATCCAAAAGAGCTACAGCTTAGATATTTGGCAAGAAACATCTTCTAATGGATGTCTACCATGTTTATTCAAATAAAAGCTCTAGGGTCAAAATTGGCCCCACCCCAGAGGGTCATTGATTTTCCTTATATATACATGTATATAGTAAAAATTAAAAAAAAAATCTTCTAGTAAAAATCCAAAAGAGCAACAGCGTTGATATTTGGCATAAAACATCTTCTAATAGATGTCTGCCAACTTTGGGCTTATAAAAGTCCTAGGGTCAAAATAAGCCCGGCCCAAAGGGTCATTGATTTTTCTCTTATGTGTATAGTAAAAACTGAAAAAATTTTGATATTTGGCATGAAACACGTTTTAGTGCATTTCTACCATGTTTGTTGAAATAAAACCCCTAAGGTGATAATTGACCCCACCTCAAGGGATTAAGGTCGACAGTTCAATCCCCAGGCATGTCAAATGTTTGTTTTCCTTCTTTTTTTATGTCATCTTTTTATTAGCTCACCTTTCACAGCCTACTGGCTGAACTGTTTGATAAAATGGTTGTCAGAGCTAAAATTAGAAAACAAGAGCTAAACAACATCTCAGCCACTGGTTCAATTTTAAAATAATTTTACACCAAAATTTTCCTGGTGTCAGTGTACAAAAATTGTTCAGATTATGCTGTTCCTTGTTTTCAAATTGAGCTTCTCAGTTCTGGGGTGAAAAGGGGGTCCACTTTTGACCGTTTGACCTATTTGCCAGGTGAGCAATCCAGGGCCCTATGGGCCTCTTGTTTCAGAAATGAGTGATGTAGGGTTAATGATATATATGATAAACGGTATAGGTTATATTTCACTCATTAGTTTTGTATTCCACAAGAATATTATAAAACTTATTCATAGTTACAGGTAATGAAGATGATGGGCTTATCACAAAGTGTAAACTAGTGGGCGTGGTTTATAACTGCCGCGGTACAGATGACTGTTACCGTGGTAACGCTGACGTTGATGTTATACTATGGACGTGTACTATCTCATAGTAATCCAGTCATAGTGTTTATGTTCCTGGAAATGTTTGCCCTGTCTTCTATTGCTTTTTCGTAAGTATATCACTTAAAGGAACTAGACTTTGGTCGTAAAGCCTGAAAACGTGATATTTAAAAATCTTTTATTACCCTTCCAGATTTTTTCCTCCTTTTTGATTGAATATTGGTCACCCGAAAGAAATTGATATTACTGAGCCAGACGGGTAATATACACACTAAATTTCCCGTTGGATACCCCACGTTGTAAACAACATGCGCTGTGGCGATGCCCGTACGGTTTGATTTTACGCGATGTAAATTCCGATTTACAAGCACTTTTTAACTGTCAAATGATAAATATTTACCAAAATAGAGTAATGATACATATTCTCATCAGTATTGAAAACAAATATGACCTTGTGAAAGCTTGATATTAATTCCAAAAAAGTGCTTTCAACAGACTACTCCTTTTCTCTTGTTTACTTTCGTTAGGTTCGAAAGAACATACTTCATGTATTTATGTGACATCATGTTGTGGTGAAGGGGACCCTAAAGGGAATCTTATTTCGACGTTTCATAAGAAGTAGCAATGATTTATATCAAAATTGTCTTAACCCGGCAGGGGAAGGGTAATAAAATTATTATTTTAGTTTTGGAGTGATATATGTGGATATATTACCTGCCAAGATAAAATATCACCCTCGCCTAACAGCTTCTAACAGCTAATATATCCACATATATTACTCCAAAACTAAAATAACATATAATATAGTGTAAACGGAAAAATATGATAAAACAATAAAAAATATACCCGAAATTCAATATAATTATTGAAGATCAATAATTGGTGTTATTGAAGCCCGAATTGAGTAAAAAGCATCTTAATTGTTTTCTTGTTTTCTGTTGTATTTCAGGTTTTTAATTGACAGTATGTTCTCTCGGGCTAAACTTGCTGCAGCAATTGTGCGGGTATATTTTACTTTATAATATACCTACCATACATGTATATAGCCATCAGAGAGGATTTAACGCGGCCAGGATACCGGCATACATTTAAACTATTGCTGTCAGTAACTGACTTAAAACTTCATGAACCATAATACATGTTGGCCCTTACCCTGCTGTAACTAAGTGACACACTAGAAAGTTAAGTGTAGAATTTAAAGATGATAACAAAAGTAAAATTTGTCAAGGGTATTAGACATTTGCTGCCTTGAGCAGGACATTTTAGACACATTTACCTCAGTACAGGTTGTTTCCAGGAGCAGATTTGAAAAGTATGCCTATTATAAGCTTATAGCGTCATACACAATCAAACTTAAATAAATTCTGAGTAAAGCAAAATATAATGTTTCTAATTCACGAAGGCAATAAAACCAAAATATGGTTCAGTTATGAAATGGCCGATGAGTTATAAACTGTCTGTAAAATACAACAGAACACCAAAACTAAAATGCTTTGTGAAATAAAAATAAAACATTTTTGAGGTATATTGTGTCTTAAAAATAATAAAAATAAAAATAATGAAACAGAATACATTGTATTTTTTTAACCTCAGTTATAAAACTTACTTTTCAGGCAATATTTCCAACATCAGCTCTGGGTCTTAGGTGGGAAGTATTTCCTGTTTTATGAGTTAGAGGGATCATGCGTACAGTGGGAGAACCTGCATGTGTCGCCACGGGAACATGATAATTTTAGTCTACAGATTGTGTTGATAATGATAGCAGTGGACACAGTTATTTACTTTATACTGGCCTGGTATATAGACAATGTTCATCTAGGTTAATTAGAAGTTTTTTATTCTATTCAGAACTAACCGGTTAATGTAATTACCCGTTCTTCTTGCAAATTATCATGGATTTTCTAGTGTTTGCATCGAAATGCCATCAACTTAGTTTCACCCTTTATAGTTAAACCCTGATTATTCGAATTGCCTTGGACTGAAAATTTACTTCGAATTAAATCAATGTGTCTAAATAATTGAAATCCGAATATTGTGATAGACAAAAGATACTCCACTTTGGCCAATCTTGTTTCCTGCAACCAAGCAAGGAAAATAAATATTCATGAAAACATGCGTAAAAATTATTTTTTAATGGTATTGAAGACATAAATACTTGCACTTTATTATACATTATGTATCATTTCGTGCAAAGCCTTGGCTGTGTTGTCACTACGGTATTTACATAACTCTGATGATTTCGGTTTAAGTAAAGGCTCTAGGAATGTTTGGTATATATCAAGGCTCATAATATTTCAGAAACATACTGTCTACCATAGCCATGGTATGTTTTGATTATTTAATGAACTTCCAGTATAACAAAGCCTTTGTATTTTCTATTATTTAAGAAACTTGTGTATTAAAGAGACAGGTTATTAAATTTGTATATCAAAGTGATTTCCATTACATCAGGAACTTATGGTATATTAAGGCCGTGGCACTTATTATTATTATTATTTTAGGATCTTATGGTATAATCTTATGGCACCCTTTATTATTATTTTAGGATCTTATGGTATACCAAAGCCATGGTATTTTCCATTCACAAGCTCTTACTGGTGTGGAACATCACTTTGGGAAACATGTTGTCTTAAACGTTTGTTCGGAATTAATCGTAGTAGACGTCCTTACTATCTCGTCAATGATGATCTTTGGTTTTATTCACGTTTGTGTTCCAGCTAGAGATATACAAGATAATATTCCAAGGTAAGAAGTTACCATAATCAGATTATGAAATTGTGTATAATCTGCTGATTTAGATTTAAGGGTTTAAAAACATATTTGTAACAGTAAATGGTAGTTTTAAGTCTATTTGCCATATAGAATTTAGTTCTAGATTTTCTATTTAAATGCTTTAGAGATCTGAGACAAGAAACACAATAATGACTTCGGACATATTGGTAGTAATTTAGGTAGATATGTACTTATGCATGTTCGTTTTCTTTTAAAACAGAACAAAACATAAACTTTGTTTCAGACTTGTACAAAATACATCATCATACAAAATATTATCAGTAAAACATTTCAAATATAAGTCGCATTCCATAATTTTAACAATATATATATTTTTTGCTTAATATATAATTTCATAAGCACAAATCATATCAAAATGTTAACAAAGCAAAATGTATTCGTTATTAGTCCGGTTTACCGGAGGGGACTTTAGGTTTACCCTCCGTCTGTCCGTCCGTCTGTCTGTCAGTCCATCAGTCTGTCCGTCCACAAAACTGGATCCCGCGATAACTTGAAAAGTACTGAAAATATTTTTATGAAACTTGGTATATGGATAGATGGCAGTATGGAGATTATGCACGTCTTTTTCTTTTCTTCCTATGTTGAAAATTCTGGTTGCTATGGCAACAAATAGGATGAAAATATGGCAAATTTTACACATAAACTGGATCCAGTGATAAAGCAAAAAGTACTGGAAATATTTTTATGAAACTTGACATATGGGTAGATGGCAGTCTTTTCTTCCTATGTTGAAAATTCTGGATGCTATGGCAACAAATAGGCTGAAAATATGGCAAATTTTACACATAAACTGGATCCAGTGATAAAGCAAAAAGTACTGGAAATATTTTTATGAAACTTGACATATGGGTAGATGGCAGTCTTGAGATTATGCACATCTTTTTTTTTCTTCCTATGTTGATAATTCTGGTTGCTATGGCAACAAATAGGCTGAAATTATGGCAAATTTTACACATAAACTGGATGGGGTTCTAACCGGTAGGGGACTTATGGATTGCTTGCAATACTATGATAATTGCTTGTTTCTTTAACTTCAGAAATCATGCAATCAATGATATTTTAGATCTATGTTATAATACACAGAGGATTACAGTCAAACATATGCTTAAACAACACTGTGGGTTCAAATCCTGACAGTGACTTTTGATTATTTCACATAAGCTTGCTTGCAGTATGCCAGTGCTTCTTACCTCAGATCCACAAAGAGGAATCTGGGGAAGTTAAACTGGAAAGTCACCATATGACCTGAATTTTGGTATTGGTGTTGACTTAAATCCCGACTAAAATAAAGTCTTGAACAGCCCAACTTTTATCTATAAATAGGTTTCTTAAAAGTATTTACGTAATATTACAATGATAGACTAATATTTTGCTCACAGAATATTGACAGACCTCAGTCTAGCGAACAAAGGGGATCACACCCAGAGGCAATCTCTGGCGGCATGCAGAGAAAACTTTCTATAGCTATAGCATTTGTTGGAGGATCGCGCACAGTGATCTTGAACGAGCCTACTGCCAGTGTCGACCCCTACTCACGTAGAGCCATCTGGAATCTATTCACTGAACAAGACAGGTATAGTTGAAATGATGACTGTAATTTCAGTTGAGTTATTTTCCTTAACATTTAGAACGGAATTTGACAATTTACCTAAATCAGCTGTTTATATTGCTTGTTTCATACTTTGTCAATCATTTAGAGGATATATGTTTAGATCAGTGTATAATCGAAATATATTTCACTGAGTGAACCCCAAAATGTATATTTCACGAGTGGTGCAGCCACGAGTGAAATATGAACTTTTGGTGTTCATGAGGTGAAATATTTTTCGATCTTGGAATAAACAAATCAAATTTTCTTTTAATTACATGTATATGCAAAGAAACGTTTAAAAAGACGTTTTAACCTAATGCTAAATTAAAAGCGCACCAAATAATAATACGATGTGACATCATTTAGTTGGTTTCCAGTACTATGCATGCTGGTATTTCACTGAAACAACGAAAGGGGCTTAAATTCAAAACAGTGAAATTATCAAAGTGGTAATTTCACTGTTTCAAACAGTGAAAATATCAGTTTTATATTTCATTGATATATTTCTATAAACCACCGAAAAGCATGTAACCAAGGCCTATTTTTAAGATAATTTGTTATTTTCCAAGAAAGACAACTCTGTCAACCTTGTTTTTATGTCATTAGCTCCCTTGTCCAAATCTGCTATCTGCTCATCCATAATGTTTCCCTACTAAAGTTAAGGTCACCTGAGGTCATTCTTTGTGTTATAGAAGTTGTTGGTCATTGTACCATGTAGATGAAGTAGACCTATGTGTTTTACTTAAAATAAATGTGATAATTAATAAACATTTGGATTGAGAAATTGTAATTGCAGTACAGAGCTAATATCACAGTGTGAGTGACAGAGGTATAGTTTACAGAGTCTGATCCACAATTGGCATGATGTATGATGTATCCTGGAATTATAATGTTTACTACAAATTAAATCTACGAACCAGTAACCCTCAGTTTTGTTCTTCATTATAAAAGGGAAAAGACATAGGGGTCACATGATATAGAAAATTGACCTCAATAATGGCTGCCACTTTTGGCAAGAGAGGTAAATATTATTAAAATTGGGAACTATCAATAGTGAAGGTTGAAAGTTAAGTACCTTTTTGGCTAGCCTAACCCGTTCAAGTATTATGTTTGTTTTTACATACTTGCATAATGCATAAAAGTACAGGCTGGTTTTGATTTAGGCAAATTACTAGTGTTGCTAGCATAAAACAAGCTGATATTTAACTTTCATCTTTAAGGAAGGACAATAATGGTGTCCACACACCATTTGGATGAGGCAGTGACTTTGGGGGATAGGATTCTAATTACAGCAGACGGCAAACTGAAATGTTTTACTTAAGTCTAAACTACGGGATGGTTACCGGCTGTGATTTTGAAAGATGAAGGTATGTTACATATAAAGCCGATATATGACATAATGCTTGGATGATAGTCCTTTATAGTTTTCATAATTTTTAACTGGATGAATGTTTTGACGTTTGTAGAAATTAAAAGTCATTAAGTGTCAAGATATTAAACAAATTTTCAAACATTCAATCTTAAATGACAATATTATGTTTACAGTGTAAGAAAATGTTTAAAAAATCAAAAGTATAACATTTTTATTTTCTTTTTTGATTGTCAGGTATTTACACCTTATAACATATTGTTCATCATATCTCAACAGTCGGTCCAATAAAACTTTCCTGGATAACTAACCAGTAATTACCAATATCTCCGCAAGTGACTAACTTGTAACTAACCCAACATGATTTCTTGATCAATAGTTAGAGACAAATGACCAATAGACTGAATGTCCGAGATCAATTGTTATGTAGAAATTTCAACTTGAATTCACAATATTTTCACCCTGTTACATATGAATTGAGGACCATTTCTGCATATACTTTATAGTGATTTATAAATGGGAGACTGCATTTTTATGTGATATACAGCAGTGTATTCTTGAGTTTATTTCTTTATGTTACATGTTAGCCATGTTTGCCATGCATGCGCACTTTGCCTATTGCTCAAACGGCTTGATTTCAAGGATTCAACGAGCAGGTCTAGTGGTTAAGGTCTGCGGCTTGAATTCTGCTCTGATAGTTTCTCTGAAAATAATTTCAATCAAAAGTTAAGTAATATTATTTGATGATATATCAGTCTAAAAACACTTGTCTCAGGCAGAGCAAGCTTGACGTCCTTTTTATGAAGTAACATGTATGAGATACTGTATAATCAGAAAATTTTTTTGACGGATTAATTTTTGCCTATAAAGTTCATTAAAGATTTTCAATTGTTGGATAAGTATGTAAGTATCGTACAAAGTTACAGAACTGACTTTAATAATTCCAGAACATTTAGCCTTTTCAAATTGCTTGATATAAAGAGTTGTACAGTATAACTCACATGCATTTACTCATAAGAAAGCAAAGAAATAAAGAAAAGATCGGTAATCAATTTTCAATTTTTAGCTCACCTGTCACAAAGTGACAGGGTGAGCTTTTGTGATCGCTTTTCGTCCGTCGTCCGTCCGTCCGTAAACTTTTGCTTTAAATGACATCTCCTCATAAACCACTGAGCCAATTTCATCCAAACTTCACAGGAATGTTCCTTTGGTGGTCACCTTTAAAAATTGTTCAAAGAATTTAATTCCATGCAGAACTCTGGTTGCCATGGCAACCAAAAGAAAAATCTTGAAATATCTTCTTTTAAACAACCCTAAGAGCTAGAGCTTAGATATTTGGCATGAAACATCTTCTAATGAGTGTCTACCAAGTTTGTTCAAATAAAAGCCCTTGGGTCAAAATTGGCCCCGCCCCAGGGGGTCATTGATTTTCCCTATATGCATATAGAAAAAACTTAAAAAATCTTCTTTTAAAGAACCCAAAGAGCTAGAGCTAAGATATTTGGCATGAAACATCTTCTAGTGAGTGTCTACCAAGTTTGTTCAAATAAAATCCCTGGGGTCAAAATTGGCCCTGCCCCAGGGGGTCATAGATTTTCCATATATGCATATAGTAAAAACTTAAAAAATCTTCTTTTAAAGAACCCAAAGAGCTAGAGCTAAGATATTTGACATGAAACATCTTCTAGTGAGTGTCTACCAAGTTTGTTCAAATAAAAGCCCTGGGGTCAAAATTGGCCCCGCCCCGGGGGGTCATTGATTTTCCCTACATACATATAGTAAAAACTTAAAAAATCTTCTTTTAAAGAACTGTAAAAGCTAGAGCTTAGATATTTGGCATGAAACATCTTCTAGTGAATGTTTACCAAGTTTGTTCAAATAAAAGCCCTGGGGTCAAAATTGGCCCCGCCCCAGGGGGTCATTGATATTACCTATATGCATATAGTATAAACTTAAAAAATCTTCTTTTAAAGAACCCAAAGAGCTAGAGCTAAAATATTTAGCATGAAACATCTTCTAATGAGTGTCTACCAAGTTTGTTCAAATAAAAGCCCTGAGGTCAAAATTGGTCCTGTCCAGGGGGTCATAGATTTTCCCTATATGCATATAGTAAAAACTTAAAAATCAACTTTTAAAGAACCCAAAGAGCTAGAGCTAAGATATTTGGCATGAAACATCTTCCAGTGAGTGTTTACCAAGTTTGTTCAAATAAAAGCCCTGGGGTCAAAATTGGCCCCGCACCAGGGGGTCATTGATTTTCCCTATATGCATATAGTAAAAACTTAAAAAATCTTCTTTGAAAGAACCGTAAGAGCTAGAGCTTAGATATGTGGCATGAAACATCTTCTAGTGAATGTCTAACAAGTTTGTTAAAAAAAAAGCCCTGGGGTCAAAATTGGCCCCGCCCCAGGGGGTCATTGATTTTCCCTATATGCATATAGTAAAAACTTAAAAAATCTTCTTTTAAAGAACCCAAAGAGCTAGAGCTAAGATATTTAGCATGAAACATCTTCTAATGAGTGTCTACCAAGTTTGTTCAAATAAAAGCCCTGGGGTCAAAATTGGCCCCGCCCCAGGGGGTCATTGATTTTCCCTGTATGCATAATTATAGTAAAAACTTAAAAAATCTTCTTTTAAAAAACTCAAAGAGCTAGAGCTAAGATATTTAGCATGAAACATGTTCTAATGGGTGTTTACTAAGTATGTTCAAATAAAAGCCCTTGGGTCAAAACTGACCCCGCCCCGGGGGTCATTGATTTTCCTTATATGTGTATAGCAAAAACTTAAAAATCTTCTTTGAAAAAACCCAAATAGCTAGAGTTTAGATATTAAGCATGAAACATCTTTAAGTAAATATCTACAAAGTTTGTTCAAATAAAAGCCCCAGGGGGTCAAAACTGGCCCTGCCCCAGGGGTGTCATTGTTTTTTTAACTATATGTGTATAGTAAAAACTTAAAAAATCTTCTTTTAAAAAACCCAATTAGCTAGAACTTAGATGTTTAGCATGAAACATCTTCTTATGGGTGTCTACCAAGTCTGTTCAAATAAACAAATAAAAGCCCTTGGGTAAAAATTGGCCCGGGGGGGGACTATATACAGGTGAGCGACCTCAGGGCCATCATGGCCGTCTTGTTATATATTTGATTTGAAATTTGATTCATGTTTGATTTGATTCTATAAATAGATTTTTCTTTTAGGTATGCATACTAATGGACCTTCAGAGCTGGATGGGAATAAAGATGCTGAGATTCTCACAATGGTAAAACAGATAATCCCAGCTGCGTTTATATCCAAGCATGTAGACAATGAAGTCCATATGACAATCCCAATGCAGACGGACGACCGTCACCATTTTGTTCCATTATTTAGACTTCTGGAGGACAAGGAAAGTGAGCTGGGGATAGCGAGTTATGGTAAATCAGACAGTGATCTTGAACAGGTGTTTGTGAAGGTCACGAAAAGTTGCGAGGAGGATAGCTGGGATTGTCTACACTTCTCACCCATGTGATATGAAGCTTATAGTAAAGATGATTCTGTCTGTGGGCATGTCTTGTATTCAATATATTTTTATATCATTGTAACTGTTTATAA